GCGAAGAGATGTTAAGGTTTTGCTCCTGCCAAGGAGGGCAATGTTGATGTGTGACACAGTGAGAAGTACTTAGTAAATAAAGAATAGGAGGGTCAAAAAGCAGACAGAATATGGAGATGGGAGATAGCATGGTAACCTCATGATTTTTCCAACAACTTCCGTTTTATGTATATAGTGTCAGGAGTGTAATTTTCAACTGTGTACTAATTAGCTAAGGTGGTACTTTAATAATTCAGTGAAATGATGACCTGAAAATCCTAAGTGAGACCTTTTTCTGCCAATAGAAATTAAAGCGAATTCTTGGAAATACACTCAGTGTTTTATAATTTCAGGGAGAAAAAATATCCTATTTGTGCTACATATCTTCCAAGTGACCTCAAATGGGACCCATTTCTCAGATCCTCATCCATCTTTGGCTCTGCTACAGTAGAGCCACATCATTTATCTGTTTAGTTTATCCAAATGTAGCTATAAAGGTGCTCAGATGTGTCTCTCATCTCTCATGTAATTTACAATAGTCTGACATCATACTTTGATGCTATACTTTGCACCATGATTTTTATTATTAAAGCAATAGATAATCACTGTAGAAAATAATACAGAATCAATATTTTACTGAATAGTAAATGAATTTCACTAAATGGTTTATGAATTGGACTTGTTTTTTTCATTCTCTCCATTCCTCCCCTTTTTCTTTACTTCATTCTCTCTCCTTCCTTTTTTCTCTACCATTTCTTATCTTCTTTCTTTGATCCTCTCTTTCTCCCATGATCTTCCTTCTCCTTTTCCTTTTTCTGTCCCTTTTTCTTTCACCTCAGTGCTTGAAAGGAGATATGGCCTTATTCTCGATGAATTGATAATGGAGGCTGAAATCAGGCCTGTGCTATGTATCAGCAGAAGCACAAAGTATGAATCTAAAGGTTAGCCAATTTTTATCACTCAGGAAAGAAGGTATACAGCAGACCTAGTGAAATAACAATGGAAAACAGTTATCTTAAGTGCTGAGTGAATGGAATCTATTTGCTTAGAGGTTGGCAAGATCTTTGCTCCTCAAAAGTTGTTCTTTTTCTGCCCAACCATCTCAGTAAACAGCATCACCAGTTTACCCAGTCTTTTAATCCAAAGGCTTCATAGTTGCCCTTAAATTCTTCCTTTACTTTCCATAATCAGTCTGTCCATAATCAATTGTTTCTGTGGCTTTAGTTTTCAAGCTGTATTTCCACTTCATACATCGTTCTTCTTTTCCAACCTAGTTTAAGCTGCCAACATTCTCACTTGGATGACCATCAGAGCCTCAATTGATTTTTATCTTTCATCACACTCCATTTTCTACAGACACTCAAATGAAGTCATGTGGCTCCCTTGCTCAGAAGCCTCCAGTGACTTCTCACAGTAGTTAGAATGAAATTCACATTCCTTCTCAGGGCTCCTGTTCATACTCCAAGGATGTGATCTAACTCCTATCTAATTCTGTATTCTCTTTTTAGGTCTTTCCTGCCTATTCATTACTCTTTAGCCACACTCGTATTTTTCAGTTCTTTAAATATATCACTGGGCCTTTGTGTATGTTAGTTTCACTGCTTGAAACTTTACTCATCATATGGCTGCCTCCTTACAATTTTCTTGGTTCTTGGCTTATTCATTGTTAATGATTCTGTCACTAAGCAGACTTAAAACTATGTCCTTTCCATGATTATTTTTCTCTTTCTTCCATACCACCTTATCTAAATATGACATCACTTTGTTTGTTACTTTACTTGATCTGTGTATATCTTTCTCAGTAGGAAGCACATGTACCTTGCTTGCCATTGTAACCTTATGATCTATTGAATGAATCATTTTGCATAGGAGTTGTCAGGGAAGAAAATACAGAGACAGATAAAGACAGACATGTTGAGGTTTTATTCTTACCAAGGAGTGCATTATGAATGTGCAACATAGTAAGAACTGCTAGGTAAATAAAGAATAGGGAAAACAGAGTTTAATGTGAGTTTTCAACAAATGGAACAATGGGTATGATTTTTCAGAATCAAACTAAGGAGATAATTTTTGGTAGCAGTAACAGAAGTGAAATTGCCAAGGGAAGCACGGTCCTGGGACATTTGGTCAACAGTAGAAAATAGGAGCTGCCTGAAGTGGAATGAACTCATGAGGTAGCATAGGGAGACTGTTTGTTAGTTGGTTGAAGAATAATCATATTGAATCTTGAAGAATAGACTGCTTTTTCCAATGAGGGTAATGGAAGCTTCATTCAAATTTTTGGAATAGGTTCTTTGTATAGTGTTTTCAGAGGACTTTTCAAGAGGTAAATTAGTGCAAAATTTTGTGAAAAGTTATTATCAAAGGCAGAGATTACTTTTTTTGTCTTTTTCCTTTTTATGGTTCTGGGGATCAAACTCACGACTGCCTGCTTGCAAGGCAGGCGCTCATGCTGCTGAGCTAAACCTCCAGCTCTGGCAGAGATTAATCTTACCAGCTAGATGGATACACAGGAAAGAAATGCAAATTTACACCAATCAAAAAGGTTTCTTTTGCCTCAAAGATGATAGGATTGTCTAACTTATTTAGTGACACAATGCGAAAAAGATGTATGAATAAGAAACAGGCATAGATGACATTGACTTCATTTTGTCTAAGAGAGAGCTAGTGAACAGAGGTGGATCACAAGAAATGAGAGTACTTTAATTGAGTAGTTTTCAATTAAATAAATAGGAGTTACAGATGTGATAGCTTGTGTCCACCCAAAGCCTCATATGGTCATAGGCTAGAGCTTTCAGAGGTAGCTAGATCTAGAGTGTAAGACTGATTCATGGTGAAATGCTGGGATTAATAGCACTGGGATTAAGAGTGTATGATTACTAAATCAGTCCACTGATTGGTTTCGCACCACCCTAATCCCTGTAGCCTAGGTTGAGTATAAAAGAGGCAGAAAAAAAAGCTGCTAAAATTCCTGTTGCCTTGCTATCTTCTGTCTTCCATGAATGCTTCTCCTCTGTGAGGCCTGTCTGCCATTCCACCCTTCCTTAGAGCCAGTCGATTATGAACTGAAACCTCTACAAACTGTGAGCCAAATAAATCTTTCCCCTTTAACTTTGGGTGTCGGGTATTTTGCATCAGCAACGAAAATATAACTAAAACAGAGTATTAGTAGAACTGATAATAATTTATTAAAAAGTTTTAAGTGAGAAGCTGCTGATTTTCAAACTTTGATTCTGAAATCTAGATTGCTGTGCATTGGACTCCATTATATACATTATATGGAAATAGGCTAATTCATTTTCAGTGTTTGCACAAAATGAAATGCATTAAAATTTGGCAAATTAAGAATTAGAACATCCAGACCACTTGGGTATCCTAGTCAAACAAGTCTTTGTTTGAACATGTGGAGCTTCTTCCTGGTTCTGCTCTTCCTGATTACTGCTCTGTTCCTCTTCTTCAACTTCACCTCCCTCTTCTCTTTTGCAGTCTGCTACATACTTATCCCTTAGGGATAGCTCCTCTGGCCAGGTTTCTCAGAAAACTTTATTGTACTGAAATGCCATCTTTTCATAATTCTTAGAGCAAGCAGAATCTATGGTGTAGCATTCAATTTGATATTTTTCTGTGTTGTTCAAGAATAGTTTCATAAATATCCTTTTCAATCCACTTCTGTTGGACCCATATTATACATGTTTGCATCTATGAGAGGATTTGCTTATAGAATCAATTAATTAATTAACTGATAATATATAAGTTAGAGTTAGCAGCAAGATACAAAGCATCTTGAGTCTGACATAATAACTAAGAAATCACAGAATCAAATAATCTTACATTAAAAAGGGACACACTGTAGGTGAGGAGACGGAGCAAGAGAGATTCCAGTAAGGTGATCAATGTCAGAGAGCTAGCTAATGATAGATCTTGGACTACAATGCCGATCTCCTGGAACAGGTTCATGAAAATTGATAGTATTTTGGAGGCAAGCACCATAAGCAAAAACCAGCTTAAATATTTCCTGATAAGATTTGATGATGCAGTAAAATTACAGTAAAATAAATATTACTCTGGTTTGCCAAAAGCAAAATGGAGCTTTCAAGTTAAATTACTGAGAATGACCCCCTTCCCCAAGAATCCCTCATGAAGACAGACATTTCATTTGTTCCTTCTCCCCGTGATTCTGAAAACCCTGAATCAGAAAGTTATCCTTACTCTATAACCAGAGTTAAAGATAAATGATTTTGGAATATCATTCTGATTCCTTGATTTTACTGAGGAACACCTCAAAATTAACTGAGATTTAGAGTCCAGTAGGGTGAATTATGATATAAGTACTTTAGCTAGTTGATTAATATATTGTTCTGTATACTGTTTTAGGTCAAACTTAATTTCTGAGACCATTTCAATAAACTTTGTCTTCAGTATATTATCTTGCTGTTAGAGAAACCATCCATGCTCAAAAGCCTGTTGAGTCAGTCTCCACTCATGATTTCTACCAAGGAGTTGTGGAAGCCCTGTAAGCTGAGGATCTGATGGAACAAGCCCTCGAGGCATGAGACATTGCCACCAGTTCCACATCTGTGGTTTAACTGTTGTGTGAAAAAGTACACTTCCTCTTTGGGCTTCAGTTTTCTCATCTGTGAAGGGAAGATAATTAAGGTCTCTGACAGAATTAATTTTCTCAAACCTTTCAGTTTAGGCATCTCTCTGCTTCAGACTGGACTTCTTTACTCTGTGCATTTTAGCCCATATAAAGGTTTTCTTTGTGGACATGTTCTCTTTTTCAAAACAATGTCTCATCCAAGAGTGTATCCCAAATAGGTTTTTATATAGAGCTTGTAAAAGTAGATTCCAAAATTACCATTGCCTTGATTTTTATCTTAATCCTTGATTTATATCTAATATTAAATACAATTTAAGAAAATTAGATTTTGTTTGTTGGAAGAACAGGGCACATGATTAAGGAAGATTGAATACCACTATTACATGTCTATCTAAAGAAGAGAACACATGCATCTTCTTACCTCGTTCTGTGTCATAGAGGTACACAAACTTCTCCCACTTGTAGTGACCAAGGAGACTCAGAATAGCACCCTTCAAGGCTGGGCGCATCTGGATGACAAACTGCACATCTGCATCAGTGGGGAAGCTGGGCGTGACAAAGGATGTGTGCAGGGCTCCACAGAAGGAGGTCAGGGTGTTCATTGACATCTGGTCATAGAATCCAAAGATCGCATAAACCCCTCTTGAGAACTGGGAGCAGACTGCAATGAGAAAAAAAGAAAGCAATTTCAATAGGTCCATTGTCCCTTGTTGCAGCTTGTAGGGTTGGAAATTCAGTGTACAGTTAGGCTGTGAATTACATGCCTCAAAAGAAACCAAGACCTCAGAAAATCTCTAGGAGCCCTTGAAAGCCTAGTTGCTCAACACAGGAGATAAGAAAGGGAAGGACCTATTTGAAATAGTTACACATTTTCTGTGTGTACATTGAGAAAGAAACTAAGAAAATGTGGGAAGGAAAGAGATTAAGGTTGTTTTACCTTTTTAGTAACCTCACAAGCTCACTTCTGAGGCACAAGGGATTCTTGTCCTCCCACCAGAGTGGCACAGAAGCCTCTTAATGTAGCCATGTTCCCAACAAAGTACAACTCTCATTCCATTCTTCTCAGTGTTTTTTCTCCTAGGCGACAGTGATGACTGAAAATTTGGTCAGACTAATGTTAACGTGTCCACTGTGAAATGTGTCCACTATATTACTCTTCTTATGTTATATAATGCTTTGATCACAATTATGGCATCAGCTATTGTATAGGCTACTGATTCAGAGGATTTAAGATTTTGAGCAGGCTGCAAGAGTGATTGGTTTTTCTGCGTCCTTTGAGTCACACAGGTAGGTGCCTGCCTGTTCTGTCTCATGTGTAATTGGCATCATTCTGTCTTGATCCTTTTTGAGCTTGTCTTACACACTCACTGATCCACATGTGGAACTTTTGGATTTCCCTCACAGTTGTCCATTTTCCTTCATTGCAAAGTGGGCCCTGCTACTATCTCTGCCTTCTTCTGACCCAGATGAGATTAAAAAATGTGAACCAATTTCAATATTAGCTTCAGTGGAACATAATTAGCAAAGCAAATCAGCTACAACAACACCATTTGGTGCATTCCCAAACCAAGTGGAAATGATCTTTAAATTATCTGCACCACTGCTCCTTTCCATTCATGCGAAGCTGACATAACAGGCATAATGGCATGTAATTTAAGGGGTCTTGCATGGTCTCCTTTCTCTGCTAAGAAACTCTAAATGCCACTTTTAGGCTTGCTTCTTTAGCTATAGAGTGTTGATAAAAAGTTTATGCCTTGGGAGGGGATTTAAATACAATCCCTTTTTATCCTTATAATTGTAAAATGAATTAATGCATACAATGAGATGCTAGGATGGGTAGGAAAGCAGAAGGAATAGTTTTGATGGAAATGAGTAGATGGAAAAAGAGAATTTTAGGTGTTGGAGTTCTTTATGAAAGGAGAAATAATAAAGGCATTAGACAACAAAAGTAAAGTGAGCATTGAAAGTAAGATGAAGGCTTTTGACAATAACAAGATATACTATGGTGGCCAACACCGATTTCCTCCTATCTTGTTTTGAAGTTTTGAATTACTATCATTATTTTGCTTTTATGGATTTTATTCTGTTCTGTTTGGTTTAATTTTATTATGTGTTATGGTATGGGTAGCTATTTTGAAGGTAACACGAAGCATTATGGTAACCATTGTTGATTTTCTATTATCTTGTTTTGAAGACCTGTATCACTCTCATTGTTTCATTTTGATTGGCTTTATTCCATTTCACTTTGTTTCGTTTTATTCTCTTTAAAATAAAATTAAAAAATAAAAAAGAAAGTAAAATGAAGTCCAGTGGAAAAGCAATTTTGACTAATTTCTTAATCCTGTTGTAAAAAATGGAGAGTTCTCACTATGATATCTTGCTTTCCAAATATCTAATTAAATATGTTGACTAAGGAAGTTCTCTTTTTTTCTTTTTTTATTCAAGGAGAAAAAGAAAAAAAAATAGAAAAAGGGTGCAAGTTATATAGAATTTCAGATAACATAAACAGTAGGAAATCACTAGTTAATAGATTACATATTGTTATCTTAGAAATAGTTGTTCAAGTTACAAAATTAAAGCATATAAAGTGAACTTTCAAACAGTGAGACTGGAAACAGTTTTGTTCAATGATCCAACAAAACTCAGTAATACGGTTATCTGTCTTATCCACTTAAATATATATGCAGATGTTCTCTTTTATTAGTCAAACCCATTAGTCATTTTGAAGATTATCAGTCACTTGAACATCTCCAAGTGAGACACAATAGCCTTCAACTTGACGAATTCTTAGGAATTCTCAAAACATATGCACATAAAAGTCCCTTATTTTAGAAAGAGAAAGCCAATTAGAGAATGAATCAAAAGATGCACTCAGAAACAGAAAGGATGCTGTAGTCATCACCAAAGGAGATAGTAAAAGAAATAAAAATTCTATTCTCAAATTAATCCCATAAACGGAAAATTTCATATCACTAGGTCAAATCTTGGCCAGTATATACATTTTGTAAAAATGTCACTAATAATGTTAACAACTATAATAATGACAGCTGACAATAATAACAGCCATTAATACTAATAATAATTACTAATAACCAATTATATTGATAACAATACTTAGCCAGGAACTGTGTTGAGTATTATGCATCTATTATCACAATTAATATGCCCACAAACCTTATGAAATGTTGCTTCCACAACTAATAGGTTACAATTCTGAGGCCAAAAAATACCACTGTTAATCAGATGATTTGGGATTTGTTCTTGAGTCTGTCTGATTCCAGTTATTGCTAGGAACCCAAATCTGACAATGTCATTAAAAAGTAATTGTTGGTCCATGTAACATAACATTTCCAGATTGAGCAAATAATAATGGAAGATAACCAATTAAATTTGAATTTCATACAACAATTTTTTAGTATTAGAATATCCTCAAATTCCTATGCATATTAAAATGATTTGTTGTTTTTCTAAAAAATCAAATTCAATGGAGTATCTTGGTTTTATTTGGTAACTCTACAAAAAAACCAACAGCAATGAAAAAAAAACTTGTCTTAACTACATGTTACAGTTAATGCCTAGATGTTCCCCAAAGCCTCATGTGATCATAGGTGAAGCTTTGAGGAGGCAATTGGATCATGGGGGCATGATACTGATTAGTGGATTAGTGCACTGGTGAGTTGATAGATAAATGTGATGTTGGGCAGTGAAACCTGGTGAGATGAGATGGGTTTTTGGAAGTGTGGCCTGCAAGGGTTTATCTCTGTTTCTCCTACCTTGATCCCTTTTTCTGCTTCCTGCATGCCATGCTATGAGCTATTTCTCCTCTGTGATGCCCTGTGCCATGTCTTTGAGTCACTCAGCTATGGACTGAGACCACTACAGACTGTGAACCAAAATAAGTATTTCCTTCTTTAACATGTAGGTTTTGGGTATTGTGCTTCAATGATGAGAAAGTAGGTAAGACACTAATGGTAATGAGATAGGAACGCTGAAGTAGGTAATCATGACCCTTTTAACCAAATTACTTAAAGGATAGCTGCTAATTCTGCAGTCCATATCAACTAGCAAAAAAGAATGTCAAAGCTCCATAAACTCTATATAAAAATAGGTTTCTGGGAAATACAATGCATTTTCAACAAGAAAAACCTAAACTTTATCATTTTATGGGTGACAACTGAGGGGAAAAAACTAACAATATAGGAAACCTATAACTATAATCTACTTCAAATTTCAAAAAGTCCCTGATACACTGGAAGGAAATAGAACATAAAAGTATGTTGGGGCTGGGGATTTAGCTCAGCAGCATAAGTGCCTGCCTTGCAAGCAGGCAGTCGTGAGTTCGATCCCTGGTACCGATAAAAAGGAAAAAGACAAAAAAAAGTAAGTATGTTACAGTGGTGAGATTTTGCTTAATACAAGAACAGACTCATATTACTCTTCTAACCCCAGGGTTTGAAATCATTAGTAGTTCATATGTGGAACTCTCATACTTTATTATTGCTTTTATTTATCTACATATGTAGGCTGTGATGAACACCCATGAACTTATTACTCAAACTGAGAAGTTTTAGTTACCAATAATGTTTTCACCTATATGTTCTTTCTCTGTTTCATATCCCTGTCAGTCTTCTAACCCTTATCTTAGATTTTATATTTACATTATGCTGGAATTTTAAAAATGTACAAGCACATACACCTAATGACAGATTGTTGTTTTGCTCTTTAAAAGCTTTGTAGCAAAGGAATTATATTGTACATGTGAATCCCAGACTTCAGTAAAACTTTATAAATTATCTCCAGAAAGGTGTTCCCAGTGACATTTTAAGGTCTGCGTAGAAAATGAGCCAAACATAATAAAGGAAAATCTTATAAACTGTGTGAGGAGCAGGTGTGAGGGAACCTACTGAAAATAAAAGAATTTCAAATGAAGCACAGAACATTGGTTGTGACTCAGGCAAGGGTCTTTGTAGATCAGCAGCAATCCTCAGGGAATAGTATGCTACGATAGTCCAAAAGGCAGGTATACCACAGTGGACAACAAGAACAATGTTAACAGAAAAATCAATAAACAGTCTACTCTCTTTTATAAAGAATGGAAGTACAGCTGTCCTGCAAATACTGACCCTTGTGGAGTTACTCATGTCAACAAATACAGGCAACATAAATGAAGACTCTGTGAGGAGTATCTCTGTGGAAAAGAAAAATGCCTTAGGAGGACAGGGTTAAAATCTGAAAGACACTGGAATGCAGGAGACTTGGGCATGTTCTTTCACATCAGATTCTTGGACCAATTTCTGGCTGCATAAATTAGGGCCAAAGAGAGCACTGAGCTGATATCTGGGACAGTCTTTATGTCTTCCGACTCTTACAATGTGCTAGAAGTTACTTAATATTTTAATCATTGTTTTTAAAGCATATTAACTAGTAGAGGAATCCTTTCTCCAAATGCAATTTTCTGGGAAAAAGTTCAATATTTAAAAGAAGTAAAGTAGAGCTCTTCTGGTCTTATGCCTTCCTATCAAGAAGGAACTATGACACAGGAAAGGAAGTGTCTTGTACAAGGTTACACAATGAATTATGAACCAGTCTCTTAGAAGTGCTTTACCAGCACCTCTGTACCATCTCTGCTCCAGAGCTAGCTAGAGCAGCATGAGTCAGAAT